TCACACTAATCTATAGTAAATATCCCACTTCCAAGATATGCTTAGCTTGTCACGTACAAAGGTTTCAGTACCAGGCTATGTGCTAAATTGAATCTATTCTCCTGGTATCACCAATCACTTAGCATTTTGCATGAAGCCTCACATTGAATCCTTAGGAGGTCAACAAGAAGTTGTTCAACTTACACGTTGGTGTGTGCAAATTCCACCAGGTGTGAAAGAGTGATAAATGGATGATTTAAGGCTTCGTCTGGTGTTATTCTCTTCTCTTGGTCGATAGTCAACATACTCTTCAACAACGATACAAAATTGTACCTAAGAGAAACAAGAAATAACAGGTTATTTACAACATCAAAAGGCAAGCTTTTGTTCACAAAGATCTACAAGGCCCAGATGTACAATGGTGAATAGCACTATCCGATGGATAAATCCTTATCCAGTGGATAAAGTGATGCTGTTATCCAATAAATTTATCCAATGCATAAGATTTATTGAAGAATAGCACTATCGAGCCTTCGTACAACTGGGCCCTGATGAATAAATGGATTATAATTCTGTAACAGGGCTTAAAATAACGGTAAGTTGCTGGTCATGATGACCAGCTAAATTAGTTTTAACTTGGTCACACCTTGTTTCTGGCTTAACAATAATGATCGAAAAGATCAGCAAAGCAAAGATTTGACCAGAAAACTTACGATTCTTGGCAGACATTGTCTGACGTCTGGCTGTTATTTTAAGCCCTGTGCAAAAGAAACCTCRTTGCACCCCCCTTACATCAAATCTAAGCCTTGAACTGGTGAAAAGAAGATGCTTAAACAGCATAGACCACCCAAGTGACCCAAAGTATCTGTGTCAAAAACATTTACCTGTCAATTTTTTCAGCCATTCTTTCATTTCCAGTAACTGCACTGGACAAGTTAACCTGTGCGATATCGTCCAGGCAGTTGAATATATATTTCCTGGCTTCTTTGGATGGAATTTTGCTCTCTCTTTGATACTCAGCTCCACTCTGAATGACATTATCACAATTAATATAAAATATTATTCCATTGTTCTTTTACTATCAGTAGTTCTAGTAGYTCAGTGGAAAGAGCATCTAACTAGCAAGCAGAAGGGTACTGGTTCAAACCCCACCTTGTGCTTGGAAATTTTTTTTAGAGAAAAAATTTTCTTGAAAAAACCCAAATCAAATCTTTAATAGGCCATTTCACGCATCCCGTTACTCAACCTCAGCAGCGTGTAATATATTCTTTAGAATTTGCCTATGACTTGTGAAATTTTTAAGTGTTTCAAGATGGCCGCCATGAGGTAACATACACATGTTCCCATACACATGGGAAGCACGGGTGGCGTAGCAGAGTGAACACTCGCCTCTCATCAATGTGACCCGAGTTTGAGTCCCGCCGGGCTCGGTGTTGTATGTGAGTAGAGTTGTTTGCTGGTTCTCTCCTGTGTAGTATGTGAGTAGAGTTGTTTGTTGGTTCTCTCCTGTGCTTCGAGGGTTTTCCGGTTCTCCGGTTTTCGTCCCTCCGCAAAAATCAACTCCTAAATTCCAATTCGATCATGGAATGAGGGCCACAGGTTCGTTAGCCACTGGCTATTAAGTGCTACCCTCGTGAATAAAGGAAGTTTTTTTTTCTTCTATTCAATCTGACATTAATATTGTCTGATGACGTGCTATTGTTTTTAGCCCTGTACTAATGGTCTGTCTCTCCATACCTTAAGTTTCCATTCCAACAACCCATTTTGATTGACATATTTCTTGAAAAACCTGTTTGACTTGCTTGCACTATTTAGCAGATAATCACCAGGCATACCCTGGGTCTGAGAGATGTAACGAATCTACGAAATCGAAAGAAAAAAGTATTAATAATAAGATTAATATACAGGTAATATTATAAAATAACTGTAATAAATCTTGCATTCTGATTGGTGGGGAGCATATGCCTTATAACAACACGCACACATGCTTTCAAAGAMGTGTCAAGAAGCACTCTCCTATGTGTTGTGCTTCTCCTAACACTTCTTTCATGTTCTGACTTGTTCTGACGTATGTTTGCTATTTCTTCATTATTAATGCATTTATTTATCTAAAACCCTACCTGGTCATATTCAGAGGAACCAGGATAAAGAGGCCATCCAAGAAACAGTTCTGCTATAACACAACCCAAAGACCACATGTCTATCGACTCTGAAAATGGCAGTCCAACGATGACTTCTGGAGCCCTGATGAAATCATTATAGAACATAATATATCACTTCGCAACATTTAAATTTATACATCTCCACCCTTTGGGCCTTACTGCTGATATTTTTTATATTCACTTATAAAAAGACCTCCATTGGCTGTTCTGGAGTTGTAGAAATGTGTAATATTACAGGGCTCTTTTGGGGAGACTTTGTCAGTCAGTTAACATCGTATGCTTTGAAAAGCGTAAAAAATATGAAAGTTAACATGACAACGAAGTTTCCCTATCCCTTTGTTTTCACTATCGCCAAGCAAAAAAAGAATCCATATGTAAGTATTAATAAAGTATCCCCTAAGACAGCATAGTGCAACAAATTATGCAATTCTGTAACGGGAAAAATATGGCACACTTTTTTTTTATTCAAATACACTTTGGTCCATGAGTATTTTTATAAGTAGTTGCACTAAAGCGCCATTATATGAAAATATGACCAATTAAGTACGTTAACTATAAAACTATAGGACCAAAAGTTGATTTTAATCTACCTTTACATTAAAAAATATGATTTATTATAAGTGTGTCTTAAAAGGAAAGCTAAGTATTGAAGACTCATGGGGTCTTTAATTAGTGATAAAAACAACCAAAAGAAAAAAATAAAACGTGGAGAGAAAAAAATGTCATAAAATAACCTAAGGCTGAATTAAATATCCGCAGGAAATATAAAATTTTTTCAAAAATCAATTTAATTTTCTAATCTCGAAATATGATTTTTTTTAGCAAATATATTCGAGTTTTTAAGTCATTCAAAGAAGCGAGTTATTGTTCTATGTGGTTAATTAACACCTAGGATTAATGAAAAAATGTTTTTAAGAAATTTTTAGTTAAAAGTTTTGGTTAAAGACTTCTTTTTATGGTAAAGTAGATAAAATCCTAAATTCAAGAAATTTTTATTTGCCAAAAAAGTTATTATAATAAATAGATATTTCAGATAAAGAGGAATCTTTCACTCTGATGAACAAAAGGTTCCTCAAAAGAATAAATTAACATCTAGACTGACCTGTAATATCGACTTTGAAGATATGTAGAGCAAACTGCCTTAGAGACGTGAGTTGCAGAACCAAAATCAATGACTTTGACTCTATAAGGCTGTTTGTCGGGATCCACCAACATGATATTCTCAGGTTTTAAATCAGCGTGTATTAAACCCAAGGACTTCAGCTTAGATAGAGCAACGAGTACTTGTTGTACGATAGGTCGGATGTTTTTTAGTTGAAGAGGACTAAACTTGGATTGCTTTAAATAATCGTAAAGATTTTGTTGTAACATTTCAAACACCAAACAAGTGTGGTTTTTATGTTGAAAACACTCGATCGCACGAACAAAATTAAAAGCTTCTGAATTTTCAGCGCTTAGTTTCGCCAATATACTAATTTCAATTTGTCCTTGCCTGGCGTAGGATGGATGATCTTTAAGAATCTTTATGGCCACTAGTTCATTAGTTCCTTTTTTCCAACATTTCAGAACTTGTCCAAACGTCCCACGACCGAGAAACTCTAGAACTTCATAACAAGACGTTGCTGAACAAAGCTCTTCGTGAAGAACAACTTTATAATCTCCTTCGCTGTTACTATGAGAGCTGACTTCGTTTTTTGTTGCAGTACTTTCTACGGTATCTTCATTAACATTCATTCCACAACGTTTATAAGTATCTGCTAGAGTTTGCGTCAAACAGCGTAGTGCATTAGTGTCGATTTGAATTCTGCACTGAGAAATATTAGTGCCTTGATTTGGATTAAACGAAGAAAAGGCCCCAGTTGAATGTGATATTAGCTCTGTTTGGACCATTTTGGTTTGCGAATAACAGGATTAAAGAGTTATCAGTGAATAACTATCGATATGTTCCCCTGAAATCGACATAGTGGTACTTGTAAAAAATCACAGTCTGATTCTGAAATTCGTATCCTTTGTTCCCGATTCTAAAAAATCATTGAAAAGTTGAAGAAGTGCATTTTCAATTGACTATGTTCTCTTATGTAAACACAGCTAGTTTGGATAGCACAGTAGCTAATATTGATTCCAACAAAGGTTCGAAATCAGAAATTAAAATTGTACATGGATTTCTGGCAAAAGCAATGCTTGGTTGCAATCGTGGAGATGACTGCGATTTCTTTCATAATGAAACAGTGAAAACAGAATAGACGGCTTGAATGAAAACACGATGAAATAATCCGGAGAAAAAATAATTCGAATGCTAAGAACAGTTCTTGTATTCTTAATTCATTCACGGCTTTGCGCACACAGATCTGAGTTTCCTTCTTCTTGATCTTTAATTCCTTTCCTCTTGTGAGAATACGTGCAAGAAGACAGTTGTAGTAACGTGTATTCTATTCACGTTTGGTACTAGTACGACGATTTATTGTCTTTCTTCCAGCATATGTAATATTTAAAGGATTTTTCATCAATTCTTCATATGTTCGAGGCAGTGAAGCGGTCTGACGGTCTTTAAAAACTTGCCAGAGAATATGAAGAAAATATGAATTCTTCTTTATAGAGGTAGAATATAGTCTAACTGTTGTTGTAATGCAAAATACAACAACAAAATATTAGATCGCAGAATAAGTCCTGTAAACACTGCAAGTAACTACAACAAAGCACTAAAAAGTTTAAGATTGAATCTCTGCCAACGATAGCGTACGATGAGGAGTTTTAAAGTTCCAATAGACAGCTTATAGCACAGTTTATGCTTAGAAAGTAATCCAGTCTAGATTCTTGGACGTTATTTTCGACCCTGCTGTGTTGAGTCCTTTCTCTTCTTAGTGTTTTCGATATCTCGTCCTTTGTCAATAATCGCCAAAATCACTAACTTTCCAACCCCGTATCTTCCTTCGATCACAACCGATTTTCTTCCCTCTTGGCGCTTTTCAAAGCCCTTTTCCTCGGCAAAACTTTGGCTTATTCACCAGGCTTGAGTACGATTTTAAAGGATTGTAAAAGCCATTTGTTTAAGATATGTTTAAATCGTTCAATCTCCGTGCAAACACATCTTTCTGATACAAAGTGAATCGATCGACTCCATGTTTGATGTTGTGACGTCAGGCTCGACCAATCACAACACAGTATTCCATGTTACGTCAATCATCCATGTTATGACGTCCGAAATTCCATCTAACGGTTAAAAAAAATTAACTAAATAACAAAATGTAGCAAATAAAATACATATACATATAACCTTTAAAATACCACAAAAAAAGCCTATTTGAGAAAAATTTTCATAATTTTGGAATCCTATTTGGGGTCGCACACAATTTGACGGAATTTTCCGAACGTTTGACGAGTATTCCACGAAAATAATCACGTGGTATAATCGTAACGTGTTCGTGTTGTTCTCGTGTATGAATTTAATTTTGACGCCAATTATCCGAAAGTTTCTCGATTGGTTGACGAAGATGATCACATGGTACAATCGTAAGGAGTTCGGATTGTCGTCGTGTATGGTAATATTAACAGTGTTTGGTAACCAAGAGATATGCCTAACAAAAAAACCTTGAATTACAACCGTTCAAAAAATCATGAGATCTTCCCGAAACAAGACATTTAACAAGCCATGGTGTACATAACCTCTAGAACTGACGTGTTGGAAGATTAAACCACAAAATGACGTCCAAAAAATCTGTGATTTTATCCCTTGCTGTTGTGTTGTGGTTGTCAGTCTTCAACACTCAGATTTCTTGTAGTACAAACACGACTGTTACATCTTCTAGTTCTTTTAACGTCTCAACACAAGGTGAGTAAACACTCAGATAAACAACGGCGCATTTATCTCTTATTTCTATTTCGGAGCTTCTAAAGCGTATCTTTGAGTAGGAAAGATTTTTAACTTGGAGCAACGACGAATATAGCTTTTAAAGTGGCGTTCTAATTTGCTGAGTAATTCTTATATCAGAAGAACTCTCCTGTACACATTTGATAAATGATTATCAAGGGGTTTTATCCAGCTATCAGCTACTATAACTTATACGTAAGCTAACTACATATGTATAAAAATATATGTTCTGTTTTATTATAATGAATTTTGCTAAAAATTAATTTGAAAATTGGGATCAAATTTATGTTTAGATAAGGTGAAAATCATAATATTATAGTCTAGGAAGATTGTTTTAAATACTTAGTGTAGTTTTAAGAGGTTTAAGCAAGCTTTTTTGAGGTATAATTTGTTATTTTTTTTCGACCTCGTYCTTAATATCCTTAGTGACTATCATTTAAATGTAAATTCATGTTAAACTGTTTATGGTAATTGCAAAATTCAGCTGTTCTTTGTGCATTCTTTTTCTTTCTTTCCAGAATGTTCAGTCTTTACAAATACTATTCCAGTTCTATTGTATTCATTTTTAATTTAAAGCCTAAATATTTTTTTTAAAGTTTTCTCACACTTTACAAATTTGGAACAATTTTGTTACTCAAACATGTAATCAATGTGTGTTTTTCGTCACCAAGAAGCGCATGCTGTTTAATTAAAGTCCTATTTTACCATATTTTTTCCTTACATAAAAGCACAGGTTATGTCACTGCGAGCTGTAAGAAGTACCTAATTACATGAAATTGTTTTTTTAACTTTAAAACGATAATATCCTGAGCTTTTTCACGTTTTCTCAAGGTCTTAGACTTTGAAGATGAAAATTTTTCTTGTACATTTTTCAACTTGAGAGAATTTTTCAACGTCTCATACTGTGCCACAGTTCTTTTTTTTAATTAAAAAGCTAAAAAAAACTAAAACAATTAAAACAATTTCTCTAATTCTGTATGCCAAGATACGAAAATCTTTCTTAAAAGGATCTTGTACAAGAATGTTTTTTGACAAATAACATTCCATGATTTAATAGTCTAACGAGACGTCCAATAAACGCTATTGACCTTTATGTCACATATTTTTATAACTTGGGAATCAAAGCTGTCAAATATGTCTGAAGTTTTTTAAATCAAGGTTTGTACTAATATTACAGTGTCTCAGCAGTCAAATCATGTTTTTTTACAGTGATTCGTAATTCTGTCATTTATAACATCTATGTGTATATATATATGCCAGTATATATGATTAAGCCCTGATCCAGGGCTGTCAACTCTCCCGGATAAACCGGGAGTCTCCAGATTTTGGACCATATCTCCCGGTCTCCAGATTAGAGTATCAAATCTCCTGGATAATCTGCGAAGCTGACTATTTCTTGTTTTGTGAGACTAGACTTTCACAACCATAAAATTCCAATTATTTCATGTTGTTTGTGTTATTTTACATCGCTAGCAAAGTCAAAACATTTCTCAAACTGTTCTTGCAAGCAGGCAATCAATGGTAGCTAACATATACGTAGCAATGTCCAGTATAGGCTTGCTCTTCACTCCCTACATATTCTGGATTTTTTTATCAATTTTAATTGTGGCTGCAAGATGTACTAATTCATAAAAACATGTATGTTCTCTTTGTAAATTTCATACTAAAACATAAATCATCTTTTTGATTTTTTTCAGCATTGACTAGATCTCCAATTCCCTCTTCTTCAGTAGTGTCTTACAATTTGAGCAGCGTTTCTCACAACCATTCAACTACACCAACACCAGTTATTATCACCTCTAGTGTGGAAGTAACTCCAGTAACATTGAGTGTGGACACTCCATATTCCAGCAATAGTACTTCTTCGATACTCCCTTCATTCAATACTACAGCAACCACAACAGTAGCAAGCAACTACACGAATGCTCCAAATGCAACGAGTAGTTTGTCGAGTCTTGGCTCAGCAAGTCAAACAGCATCAAACTTTACTACAGCATCTTCCTCGGCAATAAGTATAGTAAAAAACGTAAACAGTAGTGCAAATATTTCAAGTACCTCTAGTTATTCTGTATATTTTGTGAACTCAGCTATCACTACTACACCTCATGTTTCTAATTTCACTAGTACTATTATTACTAGTACGGCTTATGTTATCATACCAACTACCTCCTCAAGTTTATTGCAAAAAAATTCAAGCATTTTAGAAACATCAAGAACTGTGTTGTCATATAGTGTGAACCATTCACAAAGTATAGAATCTGCAGAGTCATCACTGAGTGAAAAATATCTCTCAACATCAATGAGTGGGAATGTCAAGACATCAAGCACTGTTAGTGTTGCCTTATCTACAAGAAATTCAACTCTTGTAGTACAAACTTCAAGTAGTTCATTGATYGCTGCTAGCTCGGTGGCTGATAGCATGATGATTTCATCAGTGTCATCATTGTCATCAACATCCAGTAGTAATGCAACACAAGAGGCCGTGCAAACATCTGTAAAGCCATCGACAACTACACAAGTATCTAATAGCACAACACACTCCATTCTGAACTCAAGCGAATTTAAGACACAAACGCCCTCAGCAAGTCACAGACCTTCAAGTACTTTTCTGTTGCCATCACCGTCACAGACTTCAATACCAATCGTTACAACAGGTATAACTCTGAATTCAACCCAAGTCCATACTGGTGATCCATTGCCAAGTTACAGCCCTGCAAGCCTCTCTTTGTTGCCGTCACCAACATCAACACTGAATGTAACAAATCAGCAATCAAGTCAGACTGATGACTTCAAAGTGGTATCATATACGACTCCATGTTATATCACTTATGTCATCACACAAACTATCAATGAAACAAGTTTTGGACCAACGACTGTTGCCATGGAAACATCTGTATCCAGTGTCTTGAGTAAATCAGAATCGCAAGGTGTAACAAAGACACCTGTTGTTACTAAAGCAACATCCACAGTGTCAATGGCATGGAATATGACATCATCAAGTAGGTCAGTTGTCATGGAAACAGCGCTTTCATCATCATCATCATCACCATTTCCTCAACTATCATCATTGTTCCCATCACCCTCAGCAATATCATCACCATCATTATCGTCACCATCATTGTCTTCATTATCATCATCATCACCATCATCATCACCATCATCGTCTTCATTATCATCATCATCACCATCATCATCACCATCATCTTCTTCATTATCATCATCATTAGCATCATCATCATCTGCAGAGATGGTTAATACTACAAGCAGAGGGGTGATACAGCAAAGCTCTTCAGTGTTACAAACTGGCAACAGTAGCAGCATTAAGGCGACAGCTACACAGATAACAGCTAATATGACGTCATTAACACCAGCAGCATCAACAGTTAACATCAGTAGCGTGGGCATCAGTTACCATACCATCACACCAGCAACATCAACAGTTGAGACATCCATCATTCCTGGCAACACCAGTCATAACAGTACTGTCACCCAGGCAGCTAGCACCGTGACTAGTACTCATTCCTTTAGTGTAGAACCAACAAGAATAACTAATGCTAATGTAACTACTACTTTGGGAAATGTGTCTGATTCAATGAGTGCAGCTTTATCTGCTCCTAGTGAACCAACAAAGACAGTGAATTTTGTCTCCAAGACAACTACAGCCTCACTTCAAATGTCATCGTTGATTCCCAATGTTACCGCTACATCAAGCTACACAATGTACAATACAATATCTACTGGAGGTACTAATGTCTCTGGTGTACAGACATCAAGTATATATACAGTCAATACCAGTGCCGCAGATGCCACAGCTATAAGTCCAAGCATGACTGTACCATCTCCTGGTTTGATTTCTACGTCAGGCACTCCAACACTACCAAATAACACCAATGTTTTCCCTTCAAATACTGTGGACACTGTCTCTACTGGTAATAATAGCTTGTCAGCTCCAACTCCATCCTCAGTTTTGAACTCTACGTCGCCATCTCCAACAGCAGGAGCCGCTAAAAGGAGAAGACGGAGGGAAGTTGGTGTTGGATTGGATTCAAGTAATTCTTCTAGCAGTAGTAGAAATGAATCTGATGTATCATACAGTAGCTATGGTACTACTCTTGCAACCTCATTATTACCCTCATCACCATCATTATTACCATCGTCATCATCATCAATCCCAGGAGTAAGCACTTCTGATTTAAATGCTACTATAACTACTGGTCAACCTAAAGGTCCCACTGTTACCATGGCTAAAACAACATCAAATACTACTTCAACTACTGTTGGCATGACAACAACAGCTTCAACGTCATCTGTTTTGCTTATGCCTACCACAACATCACCTATAAATGAAAGTGCAATGGCATTAGTGAATACAACCTCAGTATCAATTTCTTCAGAAGCCGCTAACATCACATACAGCGTTAGTGCAACACCAACAACTGTTTCCATACCAACAGTATTTCTTAATTCTTCATCCAATATTTTGCTAACGCTGAGTACTAGTAACGTAGCTGGTGCTTYGTTAGTAAATACAGGAAACATGCCAACAGCAACACTCGCTTCAAGTGTGTCAATTACAGCATCAAAATTGACTCCAACCTCCTTCGGCATCAACTACACATTGATTCCATCAAGCAGATCATTCAATAGCAATGACAGTAGCACTGTTCCACCTATAACTGTTGTCATGACACCTACAGCTGCCATGCCAACATCTGAGACCTCTACTATTAAAATCAACAATACTGCAGTATCTCACACAGTTGTCATGCCAACATCTGTGACCTCTACTAGCTACCTTAACAATACTAAAGTATCTCACACAGTTGTCATGCCAACATCTGTGAACTCTACTAGCTACCTTAACAATACTGAAGTATCTCATACAGTTGTCATGCAAACATCTGTGAACTCTACTAGCTACCTTAACAATACTGAAGTATCTCACACAGTTGTCATGCCAACATCTGTGAACTCTACTAGCTACCTTAACAATACTGAAGTATCTCACACATCAAGTGGTGGACTATCAACACGTTTTTCTCCATCGTTGGCATCTAAGAGTCGTGATGTGACATCAACCTCAYCTGATGTCAAAGTTAGCAGATCACAAGTGGCAAACACTACTACAACAAGTCCCATATTCATTCCTACCTTAACACCGACATCCATTCATCCTACACCTCTACTCACTTCACCAAACCCTCCTCAAACAAGTGATGTTACAAGTAGTATAGAGTCCTCTTCGCACAGAAAGAATATCTTACTGACCACTTCAAGCCTTGGTATCTGCTATGTGGTCTATACTACACGAGTGATGCACTCATCTATTGTACCAACTCCTTCATTAGTTACTACATTGAATCAAACAACAGCTTACGGGACGTCTTCTCAGAGTATTAGCAACACTAGTATTATGACGTTCAGCAGTATTGCTCCATTCAAGTCTCTTGTTCTTGAGATGAACTCGACTCTGGTACAAACAGTYATAACAACAGCGGCAGTAACAGTGACAACCTCCTCTTTGATTATCAATGCTACATCTGCCCCAGTCACTTCACAACACAAAAGCTCATCTTCACCAGTGAATGCAACTCCAGTTTTAAATTCTACACAAACAACTGGTTCTGTTTCAAAGAGTATTGCTGTCAATACTACTTCGCTGTCACCAATAGCAACAGTTGTATCAAGTGTAGTTTCTATGGCAACAACAAACAGCACTGTGTATCCAAGTACTACTAGTTTAAGTGCGATTGGGGGTGTTACGTCATCAGCCATGATCAATTCATCCAGTCACGTCTCTCCTCACCCCAGCACCAGTTTGTTCAATGTCACAGCAAGTCAGGCGTCAAGTACGCTTATGCTAACTAGCACATCCATTTCGCCCAGTATGAGTGCCTTTGTCATGACAACCTCTAGTGTGGTCACTACTCCCTTAACAACAACAACAGCAAGGCCAACAACAGCACCAATTCCTGACAACAGTACATTGATAAAGACAACGCTACAGATTCCTCGTGATGTTGACGTGAATACTGAGGATGTGAGAAAAAATGTTTCCACAGGACTGGAAGAAACATATAATAGTGCTAGTGCAGCAAGAAGAAAGAGACGAGCAACTGATGGAACTGATGCAAAGGTTTGTGACAAAATGTATGTTATGATCTATGTTACAGTACTAAACAAAATGGTGTAATGTCAGACCAATCACAGGTGGCATCGCATTGTTGGAGTGTTTCCACCAATCACAGGTGGCATTGTATTGTCCCAGTGTTTCCACCAATCACAGGTGGCATCGTATTGTTGGAGTTTTTCCACCAATCACAGGTGGCATTGTATTGTTGGAGTGTTTCCACCAATCACAGGTGGCATTGCATTGTTTGATGTTTCAACCAATCACAGGTGGCATTGTATTGTTGGATGTTTCAACCAATCACAGGTGGCATTGTATTGTTTGATGTTTCAACCAATCACAAGTGGCATTGTATTGTTGGATGTTTCAATCAATCACAGGTGGCATTGTATTGTTGGATGTTTCAACCAATCAGAGGTGGCATTGTATTGTTAGATTGTTTCCACCAATCACAGTGGTTCATTTTTCAGTCATACTTTTAAGTAGAGTATGAATATCACTGAAGAAAGCTAATTTTTGTATTTTATACTGTACACTTGAAATAGAGCTTCTAGGCATGACGTCACTCTTATGGGAAAATAACTTCCAGGTCCAAAACAAAAAGATAAATTTTCTAAATATTCTTCTTTTTTTTCTTAAGTTTTTATTTTTTCAGGTCAAGTTTAAATCATCATTGGCTTTATTTTAGTGGTTTTTTTTAGCATTTAGATGTGGAATAATAAAAATAATATATATATTTTTTGATGTTGCTTTATTTGTTCTCACAGATTTATAACATCACGAGGCAAAACCCCCTATCCACAGATGCTGTAGTACTTTTTAGCATTGCCAGAAATGGAAAGACATTATCTGCTGTCGAAGCTGTTGCAGAGTATGACAAGATCACTAACTTGTCTTCCATAGGAGTTTGGAAGGTAACCATGGCATTGCAGTTGCTAAGCAGCTATATTTGTATGCACTTAAATCTAGGAGATTTTTTTTTTTACGAAATCACTACACTTTGTTAATCTTGCAAACGGTTTTAGGATTTGTTTGTTTTATATAGCCCAAAAATACATGTTTTTTTATTTCTTTTTGAAAATTTTTATCCGTGCAAAAATCTTAATAGTTTTACATATAACAGGTTATCAGCAGACCAGAACCATTTGTGGCCCCAACCCCTCCTCCTCAGAGTGTTCTTGTATCAATGATATTCGAGAGAATTAATAGGAACTTGTCTGTACCGAGTAACAAAAAAGCAATGGAAGAGAGGCTGGCTTCATATTATAAAAAGGAGAAAGGCACTGCAGCAATGGTTACTGCTACGGTAAGAGAATAACTGTACTGAATTGTGGAGGTGATGATGATGATGATAATGATGCTGGTGATAATGATGATTGTGATGGTGATGGGGATGATGATGAGATGTTGGTGATGATGATGGAAGATGGTGATGATGATGGTGGTGATGATGATGATGGAAGATGAAGGTGATGATGATGAAATGATGGTGTTGGTGATGATGATGGTGATGATGATGGAAGATGATGATGATGATGGTGGTGATGATGATGATGGAAGATGAAGGTGATGATGATGAAATGATGGTGTTGGTGATGATGATGGAAGATGATGATGATGGTGGTGATGATGATAATGATGCTGGTGATAATGATGATTGTGATAGTGATGGCGATGGTGTTGATGATTGTGATGATGATGATGAATGGTGATGATGATGATTGGTGATGGTGATGGTGGTGATGGTGTTGATGATTGTGATGATGATGATGAATGGTGATGATGATTTATGGTGATGGTGATGATGATGACAGTGAGGTTGTGATAATGTTGATAACAAGAGTATGTACTAATGTTTGTGTTGTCCTCCAGATCCACGTGATTCTGCTGGAGAAAACCCARCACGTGTACGTGCAGTTCTACATCACGGAGGACGGCAAACAAGTGCCTGCCGCAACAGTCGTCAAAGTATTTGACGTCGAACACGTGACACAGTTAACAGCCCACTTACAGGAACAGGTATGTCTGGTAACCATGGTAACCGATTATTAGTTGCCATGGAAACGGTATAAAAAGTGCTGGTTGCCATGGTAACAATCGTGTTTGAGATCGAACATGTGGCAGTTAACTACCCACTTATAGGATTGGGTTTTTCCGTTTCCATGGTAACCGATATTAGTAGAAGTCTTGGTTGCCATGGTAACAATTATCTGTTTTCCAGGTCATTGTTGGTCCGTACACGGATGAGTCATTACGAGGTGAACAGACTGATTACATTATAACCCGTATCGCAGCGTCAGCATCCAAGATGCAAGACCCAGCGTTCAATAATGAACTTGGTGATAAGCTGGCCATGACGTACATCACGGGTAAAGCTAAGGGGAGCTCAAGGAGAAAGAGAAGAGCTATTGGTAGTGTTAGTGCTACGGTAAGTATATTTTGTATTGTGTAATGTATATTCAGATTTGAGAGTAATATCTTCGAGTTCACTCACACGCTTTACCACAACGTTCGAATATCTTATACGCACAACTCTCAACTCACATGTTGATTTTTACGAAGAGAGGAAAACCAGAGAACCCGGAAAAAAACCCTCGTGGCAAGGGAGAAAACAACACATCAAACAAACTAAAGTCACATATGACGTCGGCAAGGTTTGAACCAGCAACCTAAACGGTTGGACCCACAGCGGGTTGAAATACAACTTATTAGCAGCGTACGCCATCCATGCTGACGTGTGACTTGTGTGATGCGTGACACTAATTTCTTTTTTTAACAGATCGTGAACATAACGGCAGCGAACGGATCCAGTAGTTTTGCTGATGTGACATTCTTTATTTTTGACTCTGGTAAAGTTGCTAATGCAACATACGCTACRGCAGTCATGAACAGGCTGACAACAAATGAGATGTCACTCATTACCAGTCCATACGCGGTAAGCTAGTTGTCAGTTTAACTCCTTACTTCATGAGGGAAGGGAATGTCTGAGATGGGTAAACATTACTGATGAAGAAAGAAATAATACT